GTAGATTAATTTTGCTGATCTCCTCATCTATAGAGGCTGGGAATTAAATATCATCCAAACTTGATAAATCAAATAAAATAAGTATAGAGACAGTTAACAATAAAAAGGTAAACATGAAGAAAGATACTCCTATTGACTAACATTACATGGTAAAGTCAAGCGCTAAAAGTGAGGAAAAGAAAACATTGTTCAAAGGAAAGAAGTAATAGATATGTCTAAAGAAAGGACTAGGGTAGTTGTATACATTTATAATTTTAAAGGTAACCCTTAGAATAAACATGCAAACCTTTCTAAATCTCACAAGAACTACACACAAAAACAAAGCAAACAAAACACATAGTGAAAGACTTTAAAAATTTAAAATTGTAAACCATAATATAAAATAATATGATAGAGTAAACAAACCATTGTATCAACAAATGTAAATAGATTTAATTTATAATCTATAATCAAAGAAAAAACTCAGATTGCATTACAAAACAAATATAACCCCTTCCTCTTTACCTAAAACACAGTGTTTCAAAATAGATGAAGACAAAGGCATAGGCAAAGGTATATCAGACAGGTGGAAACAAAAAGAAAGTGGGGGGAAGTGAGCGTAGTTTTACTACCATGCGAGGTAATGCCAAAAAAACAATAAACTAGACATAGAAGGTCTTTTTATAATTGTAAAAGTTATACTACTTAATAAATATATGAATTTTATGACTATTTATGCATAAAACCATGACATCAATATTCATAAAGCAAAGACCACAGGAGATAAAAGGCCAAGTAGACATACTAGTGGCCAGAGACTTTCTTTACCTCTCAGTCCATGACAGATTAATTATAATTATATAAAAATAAAAAAGAATATAGAGGATATAAAGAACATAAACAGTGAAGTACAACTAACTGGTATGTATTAAATTTTGTACCTGGAACACCTTTGCAAATGCTTATAAAATATGATTGAAAACTGACCACATATTAGAAAATACAGGTTAGACACCATTCTTTGATCACATGCTTTTAAGTGAAATTGTAATAACAAATCAGAAATCAAAAAGACCCTTATAATTGGAAGTTTAAAACATGTTTCTTAAACCATTTGGTGTCAAAAGGAAAATGCAAATAAAAATACTTTCCAAAAAACAACAAAAATGAAAATACCACATATTAAAATCTGTGGCATTCACTTAAAGCAGTACTCAGGAAAATTTATAGCTTAAATGCCTTCATTATCAAAAAGGAAAGGAAAAACAAAAAACTAAATACCTTCAGAAATTAGAAAAAGAATAAAATAAAACAGAAAATGGAAAGAGATAATTAATGAAGATAAATGCTGATATTAACTAATGACATAGATGTCACTAATCATCAGGGAAATGCAAATTAAAACCACAATGAGATATTTCCTTACCCCTGTTAGAATAGCTTTTATTGAAAAGTCCAAAAACAATAGGTGCTGCGATGGATGTAGAGAAAATGGAACACTTGTACACTGTTGGTGGGACTGCAAATTAATTCAACCTCTGTCGAAAATAGTACGGAGATTCCTCCAAGAACTAAAAGTAGACCTACCATTCGATCAGCCATTCCACTCCTGGGTATCTACTCAAAGGAAAAGAAGTCATTTTATCAAAAAAACAGCTGCACTCAAATGTTTATTGCAGGACAATTCACAATCACAAAGATGTGGAATCAACCCAAGTGCCCATCAATTCATGAGTGGATTAACAAATTGTGGTATATGTATACCATGGAGTACTACTCAGCCATATAAAAGGATGAATTAATGCCTTTTGCAACAATTTGGATGGAACTGGAGACCATTATCGTAAGTGAAGTATCACAAGAATGGAAAAACAAACACCACGTGTCCTTGCTATTAACCTGGAACTAACCAATGAGCACATATATGCATAGAGGAATATAAAATTTAGTGGCAATCAAGCAGGGGGAAGGGCGGAAGAGTGGAGGGGGAAAAAAACCTACCTAGTAGATACAATGAACAGTATTTGGATTATCAGCACACTTATAGCCATGACTCAAGGATTACAAAAGCGTTACATGTAACCAAAACATGTGTACCCCTTAATACTTTGAAATAAAAAAAAAGATATAAAAAACAAACAAAAATAGTAGAAAGGATAAAAAAATCCTTTTTTTTTGAAGTGATCAATAATGACACTGACTTAAGAACAAACAGAGCAAAATATTCAAAATTAGGAATCACAGAAATAGAAAAACAAAAAGAAGTGTAAGAGGATATTACATGAAGATCTCTGGATAATGCATTTAAAAGCCTGGAGGAAATTTATTATTTCGTAGGAAAATATAAATTTCTAAAATTGACTGAAGACGCAGTCAGAAAATTAGAATAAATTAATTAACCATAGAAGAGATTAGGAAAGTGAATAAAGAACTGTCAGTGAAAGAGCCAACACGGTAAGTTTGGTTTACAGATGAGTTTGTATGTAACTTTTGGCAGAAAAAAGATAATTCCAAAGTTGTTTAAATAATTGTAGGCCATAGAAAATAATGAAATTTCAATATTACAATCTGATAAACATAGGACAATAAGAAAAACACAGTTCAATCTAACCCATAAATATTGATGCAATGATTCTACATAAATTATTACTCAGGAATGCAGCAAGGTATCAAAAGAATGACATATAACTAGTAAGAAGATTTTACTTTAGAAATGCAATCATGGTTCAATAACCATGATTGCAGAAAATTTACTCAGTTATAAACACTCAAAGACATTTGATTTTTACAAAACAGCTATTGATATTTGTCATAAAAACTCCAATAAAATAGAATTAGAGGAAACATACTGATATACATAAAAATTAATATTGATGATAAATATGCGCATTTTGAAGTTTTCAAATAGTAATCTTCCCAATAATATTTCCTTTCAGTAGGATCAGAAATTTGAGGCAATAGATTGCAGATGTTCTCGTTAAATGCAAGGAGAGATTTTCTTGGGGCAAAATGCAGCTCCTGAGATCATACCACATGTGTGACTCTTTGTGTGAGAGTAGCTTATTTGGTATCATAGAATTATAATTTTCACATACTTTATGATTGTATACACTTTAAATTTAAGCATTGTGATTTTCACAGAAGTAGTGCTTCTTCCGTAGTTTACTTCTCAGATCGTGGTATGCATAGCCTTAGAGTTAGGTAGCACTGGGAGAGGATATCCAATTGTAACAGACTAACAATTGGGGATGGGTACAGTTAACTGATTTAGCTGTTAAGTAATTTATATCGTATATTAAAACAAACAGCCGTATTATGGATTAAAGTTAAAATTTTGCATGAGTTATAATGATACAACATGAGAAGTCAAAGGTTTTTTTGGTGATTATATGGGGCTTCTTTAAAATATGACCCCAAATCCCTGGAGTTGCATATGATTTTACACTGGTGTTAAGAATATTTTGGTGGAAAAGTTTGAGACACTCCATCATACAATATCTTAGATACAACTACATCCTTTAAAACTGTTATAAAATTGCAACTATTTTATTAATAAAATGATGGTGGTTCTAACCCTGAAATAAAATACTTGAGTGTTTTGTGAGGATCTCCTTGAGATAACATTTTAATTGTATTGCTACATTATGTGTGGATGATATTCAGTAGTTATTTCGTTATGCACAGTTGTTAGACTTGGGACTGAGATTCTACATTATGTTTTAATATTTGCCACGAGCTTGAATTGTCAAATATCTACTAATTTCCCATAAAAAGAAAATTAAGGTGATGCCAAATGTTCCTGGCTAATCCTCAAAAACTTTTATTTTATTTTTTTCACTTATCACAACTCTCTAACATTTCAGGTTTGAGATGATTATAGCTCTGTAAAGATACAGATGGGAGATTTAAAACCCAAAGAATAATAAAGATCATATGGCTGACAAAGCTGTTCTATATTTTTAATACAGGATTCATCATTCTTTACAAGTGGCTTTAATTTTACATGACTCTAGAGGTGAATATGAGATCTGATTAGATTCTGGTGGGGCAAATTCATTCATTCAGAAATGACAGAACTATAATATTTGTAAGACAGGTACTGTAGAGATCCAATAATGAATCAGAACCAGTCTTCTAGAAGCTTATAATAGGGTAAGGGAGATGAGCAGTATACTATTGGTAATGTTACAATTAACAATAAACAGGAAAAAACATAATTATATCAAATCCACATTATATAAAATACATATAACATAAATATTGGAAAAGAGTCTACAAATTGAATAAAAATTTCTATGGAAGACTGTGAAAAAGGGAAGAGAGAAAAACTTGGAAGGGACAGAAAAAGTATGGTGTTTACCAACAAAATAAATTTAAATTTTCTTATCCAGGAATCATAAAAGGATTTTGGTGACCAGAGTGCTTTAAGTGTAGCACACACTTAAGGTATTATACACTGGGAGAGCTTCCATGTGATTCACAAATTCCCAGAAAGTTAGAAGGGAAAAAAGCCTGAAAAATTATACTTTAAGGGATTGTGTGAACTTAATTTATAAAATGGCTTCCAAATCACAAATTATTTTTGTAAGTATGACTCTAGTTTCTTTTTAACATAGGTATCATTAACATTTATTAAATTAAAAAATAAATGTCACCTAGGAATCTTTGAACATGTATATTCATTCGAGTAACAAATAAGAATCCTAGTCAAATGGAAAAAATGAGAAAGCTAAACTAATTCTTTAATTAAATTTTGGGTTTAGAGATATTGGTGTGTGGGTGTGTATGTGTGTTTGCACATGTGCACACATTTTATTCAAATTATTAAGTATAACATCTTACTCTCCCTCTCCCTACCTCTTATTACCTGTAAATTAGTTATTGATGGAGCATGTTTATTTTAAAATTATGGTTGATACAAGGAAGATTTTCTCATACTCAAACATTCATATGAACACATGAATGCATAAGAGTAAGATTCTTTCTCTCTTTCTCTCTCTCTCTCTCTTTTTAATTTCCAGGCATAGATATTCTTCATCAACTAGGCCTTGGAGGCAAAGATGTAAGACACTCATCATCAGTGACTGCTGTACCATCATCATCTACACCATTACCTCAGGGGGTTCAATTAACAGAATCAGGTGTCATTTTAAAAAATGATGCTTATATTGAGTCACCTCTCATGAAAATTTTACCAGTCAACTTAAGGCAGCCATTTACAATATTAATTGGGTTGCAGTCCCATAGAGTGAACAATGCATTTCTCTTCAGCATTAGAAATAAAAATAGACTACAATTAGGAGTACAGTTGCTACCTAAAAAAATAATAGTATACATTGGAGGAAAGCAGTCTGTGTTTTTCAACTACAGTGTTCATGATGAGCAATGGCACTCATTTGCCATTACTATTAGAAACCACGTTGTTTCACTGTTCGTTGAGTGTGGAGAGAAGTATTTTAGCAGCGACACCATTTCAGAAGTTCAGACCTTTGATTCTAACAGTGTGTTTACCTTAGGAAGTATGAATAATAATTCTATCCATTTTGAAGGAATAATATGTCAGTTGGATATTATTCCTTCTGTAGAAGAATCTGCAGACTACTGCAGATATGTGAAACGTCAGTGTCTCCAAGCAGAGGAATACCGACCCGAAACAAGCCTTCCTCGCACAACTATCATGCCAACTAAGATACTGGAACACCCTCCCCTGCCTAAGCAATTTGGTGAAAAAATACTGTCAGAGGATGTATTTACTGAAGGCAAAAGCATTCCAAATATCATAAATAATGATTCTGCAACAGTGCATAAAAGACAAGAACAGCAGATATCAAGATCTCAGTTCACTTCTCTTCATTCAGGAATCGTCTCTGCTGTGGATGTCACAAACCAAGGGACTCAGGCCAAAGAAATGATCACTGAGGAACATGCTCAGACTAATTTAAGCCTGTCAGTGAGCCATCATCGCCTCAGTGAGGCAAGAATGAATAGTAAGGAGAAATTTAATTCTTTCCTAAATGTATCTGCCAATATCACACAACATGACGATAAAGTAACTGGTCTGTCGTTGTCTAAGAAGATGTCATCTCGTCCACAAATAAAACAAGATACAATTACTAATCTCAAGAAGGCTATCACAGCAAATCTACACACTAATGAACTCATGGAAATGCAACAGATTTTAAACACAACCTTGTATAGAGTAACAGATGAGCCGTCTGTGGATAATCACCTTGATCTAAGGAAGGAAAGTGAATTTTATCCTGATGCTACTTATCCCATTGAAAATAACTATGAAACTGAGCTTTATGATTATTATTATTATGAGGATCTTGATAGAATGCTTGAAATGGAGTATCTGAGAGGGCCAAAAGGAGACACTGGACTGCCTGTAAGTTTTTTTTAAAAAATATGTCTTAATGCACTAACCTACCATACATTTTAAAGAAAGTTCTCTGGACCAAACAATACAGAACAGATCAGATCTGTCACAGAAATGTAATCTGGCACAGTGAGTGAATTTATGGTTGCTGTAACACATCTGCTAGAATGCAACCCTGGCTCAAATATTGTACTTTTTTTTTTTTAATTGGCAGGCTGACAAGGTGACTTAATTCTGGTAAAGTAGTGTACAAACTATGTGTTTTTCTTGTTCAGGTGAAATTCAATCAGCAATTCAACTGCTAAATATATATCAGGATTCAATACTATATAAACAAAACCAAATTTTTCAGCTCTGAATTTCTTTCGTTGTGTAGGCGTAATAAGAGATCAACATTTAAAAGTTTCTAAAATCATTTAAAACCATTTAAAGCCATCTAAAATCACAACACTGGAAACATTGTTTTTACTTTTCATATTTGTATACTTAAATTATTTACCTTTGTGTCTTTGGAAATTAATTTTTTTCAAAATTACAAGTCAACTAATTTTAAAAATGACATCTTAAGAATATGCTATTATAGAGACATAAACTTTTTAATTATGACAATCATCAACATATTGGTTATAAAATTGAATTCATGGGCAGATCGTATCAAACGAACAGTTAATGGAAGCCATTTACTTTTTCAGAAAAAGTCAGTTAAGTATTAGTCTCTTTTGTAAATCTAAAGTAGTCATTCAACATTGGTAGGTGAAGCAATAATATTCAACAGATATTTACTTAGTCTCTGCTATATGAAAGGTAGGAACACAAAATATATATAACATAGTCATTGCTCAGAAGAAGCTTACATTTCAATAATGAGGGTAAATGAAATATATGTATAAACATATGGTAAAGTAAAATAAATGCTGCTGAGAGATACAAACTAAGTGTACAGGGGAAAGATATACAAAGGTAAAAATTGTTTGAGGGGATCTCTATGAAAGACCATATAAAACTGAGCAGTTCAGAATAGGTTCTTATGGACAAAGTTAGTTATGACTTAGGCTCAAAGGATGGATAAGATTTTGATAGGTGAGAAGAGCAAGTATGTTCTTTATATAGGGAAAACAACATAATAGCTATCATTTACTGAGTTCTTGTGGAAGATGCTCTACAATTCTCTTTACATATATTACATGATCTTAAAAGAACTTTGTAATGGTAATATTATTATCCTCATTTTTCAGGTAAATAAACGAAGCCTAGAGGAATTAATATACTTGCCCACAACAATAATGCTTGTAAATAATAGAGCCAGGATTTGAATTCAAGTTTTCTGCCTCTAAAGCCCAAACTCTTTCATGATATTTCAGACAAATAAAGACCAAGCTAGATAGTGTTGGGTTGTGGAGAGTCTTAACTATCAAACATACGGTTCTAACTTTATCTTGTTTTGAATGGGAAATTTTTTAGGTTTCTAATAGGAAAGCCAATCTGGCAACAGTGCCCAGAACAAACAGGAAGTTTCTGTTACCATCTTGGTATTATATGAGTAGGATATTATCTAGGTTGGCAGCAGTGAAAATGCAAAGGAAAGGTAGGATTCAAAAGATTTTGAAGGAAGATTTTGTTGAACTAGCAGATTAATGGGACCTAGGGACAAGCAAAAAGAAAGAGAATCAAAGATGACTACCAAGTTTTAAGTCTGCAGATTGAGAAAAGGGTGATACCATTATTAAGAACAGTAATTAACAGCAGAAGTTGATTTTAGGAGAGGAAAATGTCAAAACATTTTAAGAACTGTTGGTAATTCATTAAGCTGTTGGAAGAGCTGAAGAAGTTGAGGTAAAGAAGAAGGTCAAGGCTGGGGATATAGGTTTGCAAGCCTTCCCATCAATATTATAGTTGAAGCTATAGGGTTGCATAAGATTTTTTTCTTTTTTTTTTTTTGAGACAGAGTCTCACTGTGTTGCCCAGGATAGAGTGCCGTGGCGTCATCCTAGCTCACAGCAACCTCAAACTCCTGGGCTCAAGCGATCTTCCTGCCTCAGCCTCCCGAGTAGCTGGGACTACAGGCGTGCACCACCACACCCAGCTAATTTTTCTGTTTTTTGTAGAAATGGGGTCTCGCTCTTGCTCAGGCTGGTCTCGAACTCCTGAGCTCAAGCAATCCGCCTGCCTCGGCCTCCCAGAGTGCTAGGATTACAGGCGTGATCCACTGCGCCCGGCCTAGGGTTGCATAAGATTTTTAAAGAAAGGAGCTTGGCATAGGATCAAGAGTCAAATTATGGGGAAGGTTGATTTTCTGTTATAGAAGGAAAAAGCAGAAATGTCATAGGGTAGTCAGAGAGATGGGAGAGAAGAATAGTGAATTATCATAAAATCAAAGGGAGTTTGAGAAGAAATTGATTGGCAGTACAAAAAGATACAGAAAAGCCAAAGAACTGAGAAAAAGTGGGGAAGTCTGTTGGATCTTCTGATGAAGAAATCATTGTTTGAGAATCCAACTTTGGCATGGTGTAGAAAACTAAAGGTAGATTTTATGGAGCTAATGAGAGAATGAATGGTGATAAAAATAATGATCTTGCAGGGGTTGTTTCACTGCTCTTGAAGTGGGTGTGATTGTGGAAAGCCTGAGGCCATCTTGGTTTTCCTACTTTTAAGTGACTATTTTTTCCTGCCTGTATACCCATGCAATTCTTTCATTATCTTTGAAGGCCATTAAACCCATTTCTGTATCAGTTTTTTCTGGTATCTTTTTGATGTGAAGATAATTTTTATTATAGAAAAGTCTCCTCTTTTATCATCAGATATTTTTCTGTTTCATTTTTCTATATTCTTCCTCAGGTACCACCAATTTGCATACATTGAATGTCATTTGTGGTGATAGACAGTATTTATTATCTTCTCTACAACCATGTTATTGTGCTTGCTCTTTTCCATTTCACTTTGTGTGAATTCATTTATTCTATAGCTATAGCCCTTTATTGATTTTTTAGTTGTATTTGATCAGTTTTTGTTGCTCTGAAATTAATTTCTTATACAATGGCTTCTTTTTTGCTCCTTCATATTTTTCTTAAGATCCTCTGGTTCATATTTTATTACCTGTGGTTGTTCTTTTTATCTCTTGTAAGTTTTCTTTGAGCTTTCTTTTTATAAATTAATGTCACCTTGAAATTCTTTGAACATATAGTGAACTATATAACTGAACTCTTTCTCTGTTGTATGGAGTAGTTCCTCTTCTCGTAAATGATTTTCATCCTCTTTAAATTTATGTTCCTGTCCTCCCACTTCTCCCTTCCCCCCAATATCTGTGTGTAGGTTCCATACTGATTCCTTTCTAGTTATTACTCATTTTTAAAATACAGACAACTCTATCTGAGCTATTTATTTTAGAATAGTATAGGAAGAGGCAAAGGGAAGTAAGGTGAAGTGGTACACAGAATCAAATTTAGATTGTTGCCTTAAATACCATCTTATCATATTTGTTTTGTCTTCTACCCAGAGGCATGCATGTATCCTCTCATTTTCACGTACAGTATGTTGTGCAGCCCTTTGCATCACAGGCTCTCTGAGAAGTGATATGGTGACTTATGCTCTTCATGTCTTTTATCCTCTCTCACCATCAGAAATCGCCTATGTTTAGATTTGGTTGTAGGTCATAAAAATGATGGGTTCCTCTTCTTCAGCTCTACCTTTCCTATTCTTGGCTCTTTTGAACCGGGTCTTTACTGGGTCAAGAATTATTTCTCCTGTGGCTTGCCCAGTCCCTTAAACCTCATCATCATAATCAAAGGATTGTTGGAATGTTGGAATGGATTTTCAAGATTGATATACTTTTAGAGATATCTGTAGCCTGTCCAAAATTTGAAGTCTGAGGAGGTTTTTGTTTTTGGTCATCTCTCAACATCTTTGCTCCAAAGTTTCTCAGTATTTGGCAGATAATCTTCATATTTTGTGGTTTGTGGTTGTAGTCCTGTCCTTGTTTCATTGGAGATGATGTTTTCTTCTTTTGGTGATTTTTTTTGTTTTCAGTGGGTTTTGAGGGAGGGAGAGTAGTTTGAAAAATGTTCTCACTCTACCATCTTTTACCAAAATTCTCTAGTGATCTTTTTAAAACATAAATCAGATCATCAGATCACATTATTTATCAGCTTATTTCTTTCAGTGGCAGAAGATTAAAACACTTAGAATAAACTGAAAACTCTGTATCATGACCTGTGCAGACAGACATATGTGATATGGCTCCCGCTTACCTCTGCAACCTTGTATTGTTTCACTTTTCCCCTTGCTCTATTAGTTTTCTTTTAGTTTCTCAAAAAGACTCTGTCTTTTGTTTGTTTTGTTTTACTCATACCTTCATTCATTTATTCCTATTTTCTGGAATTTTATTTTCTCCTCTTTTCTAACTCCTGTTCGTCTCTTAGGTCTAACTTAACACTTCCTCAGAGAAGCCTTCTCTGACATCACAATACATATAATTAGGTCCACTTTGTTAATCTGTCTCTCGATTGCCTGTTCTCTTCCTCCATATCACTAAGTTAAATTTGTAATTGTGTGTTAATATGTTAATATGTGTCTTTTAATCTAGATCATAAACTCCAGGAAGGCTTGATGCTTTCTAATGTTTATTGAGTGAATGGATGAATCAATGTATGAGTGAATGAATTAAAAAGGAATGTAAGATGCAGGACTTCCAAAATTAATGACCTGAGGTTACTATCTTTTAGAAGTATTGGTCTATTGAATATATTTACCTTAGTATATATATTACTTTAGTAATGATAATATATAGCTAACATTTATTGAGTGCTTGCTATGCTCCAAGCATACCTTTAAAAAACTTACAGTACAGTTTATTGGTTAACTACTATATACCAGGCACAATGATAGGTATTTTATATATAACAGCTTTAATTCTCACAATAACCCTAAAAAGTAGATATTTTGTCATTAATATTTTAAAGATGAGAAAACTAAGTTAGAAAACATAACTGACTTGTCCAGGGTCATCCAGCTAGTAAACAATTGAGGCATAATTTGAATCTAGATTGCATGATTGCAAAGCCATTGCTTTTTAAATCAAATTGTATTTTCTCTTAATAACAAATAATCTGAAAGTTAAAGTGCTTTTTCTAGTACTTTATTTGCAGACAGTAATTTATTCTCCTCAAAAAAAGTTATGCCATAAAAAATCATGTTGCTTCTCTGGTTTCTAGAAAATACCTATTAATATGTTGTTTTTAAAGATCTGGAAAGGCAAAATTGTGAAGATACGAAAATTGCTTTTCATTTAGTGCTCATTAAACGGTTCAAATATTTCATTCATAACATAAAATATGCCTTATTTTTTTCCTCAGTATCTAATATTAACTGTATCTTAATTCAGGGTGCTATAACAAAATGCCATAAACTTGGAAGCTTATAAACAACAGAAATTTATTTCTCACAGTTCAGAGGCTGGGAAGCCCAATATCAAGGTGGCTATAGATTTGGTGTTTGGCAAGGGCCTGCTTTGTGGTTCATAGATGGTGTCTTCTCGATGTGTCCTTACATGGTGGAAGGGACAAATGAACTCTCTTGGCCTCTTTTTTAATCCCTGACTTAATCATCTCCTAAAGTTTCCACCTCCTAATACCATCACTTTGTGGTTAGGATTTCAACATATGAATTTTTGGGGGATGCAAACATTCAAGCCATAGAAAACTTTAAATGTGAATGGCATAGTGTTTTCTTTTGTCACAAAGTAGTGAGACAGGACACTAAACCAAACTAGACATCTTTAAAGAAAATTTTCTACTTTTTTCATTTTTAATTATAATTTCTCCTACTTGCTCTTATTTTGGGGGACTTAAATTCAAATCAACAGCTATTAACTTCTGATTATAACAGCAGAACCAAAAACAATTAGAAAAGAATGTCAATTTTTCTTTATAGTAAGTGAAAATCAATTTTTCATGGAAACTAGTGATACAATAATAGCTGTTCAAATATTTGCAGAGCTTAGGAAGGAGAATGCCCTCAGTTTGGGCTTGAATAGAAATAGTACTCTCTCAATATTAAGAAATTCAGGAAAAGTTTTATCAAGTTAGGAGGTAGGAGAAGAAAAAAATATAATTAAAGAGAAAAAATTAGAAGTTTGAAATATGTAATGAATATCAGAAAACTGCAGTATAATGATAATATCGATAAAGGGGAAAGTTTCAAGTACAAGTTAATATTAAAAAGAATGAGAATGAAAAAAATGCTTCATAACTCTTATTTTTCAACACAACTTGTTTCCCCTTGTGTTTTTTTTTTTTTTTTTTGGAACAGAGTCTCACTGTGTTGCCCTGGCTAGAGTGAGTGCCGTGACGTCAGCCTAGCTCACAGCAACCTCAAACTCCTGGGCTCAAGCGATCCTCCTGCCTCAGCCTCCCGAGTAGCTGGGACTACAGGCATGCGCCACCATACCCGGCTAATTTTTTCTATATATTTTTAGTTGTCCAATTAATTTCTTTCAATTTTTTTAGTAGAGACAGGGTCTCGCTCTTGCTCAGGCTGGTTTCGAACTCCTGAGCTCAAACAATCCGCCTGCCTTGGCCTCCCAGAGAGCTAGGATTACAGGCGTGAGCCACCGCGCCCAGCCCCCTTGTGTTTTTTAATTGGAATGACCCTTTTCCATCAATCCATTTTCCCTCGCCTCCTTTGAAACTCAATTTAAATTTTAGGTTTACCTGGACATGATACAGATAAAACTATATGAAATTATGTTTTTGTATGTTAACAAATGGTCACATATTGGCAATTACATATGGTTTAACTTGGAGTTATCCCTTTATGTGCCATTAATGTAGATATATAGACATTTTACAATTAAGAAAAAATGAGACACATTAGGTCATACTACTTGTTAGTAGTGAGGCTAGTATTTTAACCCTGATATGTCTAATTTCAAAGCTGGTACTATTTTTACTGCAATAATGAATAAATATTTGTTAAATGGAATGTGTGCATGCTCTATAGACACCAAGAACAATGCCGTATCAGCAGAGAGCTCAGTGACAATTGAATGAATTAACAGATAAATGAATGAGCCATATCACAAATGAGCATTTATTCTTCCACAGTTGATTGTCAAAGTAAGTAAAAAAGATAACATAAAACATTATATGAAGAAGTAAACAGTAGTTTCCTATTTCTTACTTGATGTATTTAAAAAGTAACATTTTAAAATTTCAGAACACTAACAATTGATCAGTTTTTGGTTTCATGCTTTGTTTTATAAATCACTTAACTCTATTAGTGACCTCCTGGTCTGCTGCATTTAGTATAAATCAAATATTAATGGATATATCTGATACAAGAAGGATCTCAGTATAACAGCTTAACACATTACATAGATCCTTGCTATAATGCTTTGAAAAGAACATAAGATGGCCAGTGCTTTCATTTTTCAAGGCAAGTGTTCTTTTGAAATGTGTTTGAAAATCCTGCAGTTGTTGGTCTCCAAACCCTAAATTGAATTCCTCCTTCCATAGTAAAAGTAAATTTAGGTAAAATTTACCCACAAAACTACCAGTTATGGTCCCTGTAAAAACCAGATACAGTGGCTGTAACCACATGTCATAGACTTCCTGCTGCCATTTCTGGCCAGATTAAAGAGGACACTCGAGTTTCAACTCACCCCTGCTGATTAGGGTGAGGGAATTCATGCTACTTTAAAATCATTGACAACTGGGAACTGGAGACTGAAAAAGAGTTATCCTGGAAATCTTATTAAGACTTGTGAAAAAAGATGTGTTTACTGTCATGCCTAATGTGTTGGCATTTATTTTTAAGGGTCCACCTGGTCCAGCAGGTATCCCAGGTCCATCAGGAAAGAGAGGTCCACGGGTGAGTAGATGGGCTACATTTCCCGCTGGCTGTTAGAATTAGTAACTTTCCAGTATGTTTTTTCTAGTATTGTACAGTATGTACTTCCTTTGGAAACCTGCCTGGATCTTCAAACTTAGCCTTACCTTTGCCAATTCAAGAGAAGCATAAGAACATGTGCATCCTTGTTTATTTGAGTGTAAACATCCAGCCAAAGCGGCCTCTGTACACATGTCCAAGAAAGACCATCAAATTTGTAAATCAGTGGCTGTTCTGTTACCAATTTTAACATTATTCTTAGTTACGAAGTGGTCTCAATAGTCCAAGATGAGATTCATTTGTTTTGGGAAATGAAGAGGAGTGGGCTGCCTTAAAATAGTGCATTCCTGAATTACATAGTGGAAAATACTGGAGCTATTGACTAGAAAAAAATTGCTCTGAGGGAAAAAGCTGCCTTAAGGATCAGCAGTAGTTTCTCACATTACACAGGTCCAACAAAAGATTTATGGCTAAGTTAGAATTAGTTTCTTTCAAAACTAAAAAAAAAAAAATGTAGATTTTTACTAAAGAAAATCTTTCTTTCATAAACTAGAAAAATAATTGTGTGTTATAAAGACAAATGCAAATGCCTTTTATAAAATCTTTCTTTTTATCTTGATTTTTATCATATAAACAATATAAAGAAAAATCACTCTAAAATATTACTTTAAGTTGTCCATATTCACACCAAACTCGTGTCCATTTGAGGCCCAAGATGAATTCTTACTGGGCTCTAGCTGTTGTTTAGCATTTTTAAAAATTTCTTTGTAGTTGATGACCTATCATATCCCTCCCATAGTCCCTTCTAAACTGTGCCCATTCTCCTCTAGCCTGTGAACCATTCCCATCCTCCTACCTCTATGTGAGGTGAGACCTTGGATACCTACTTTTCTGAGGGACTGGGTCCATCTTTGCACTAATTCTATTCCCTCTCCACCGCTAAGGCTGTTCTTCCAACAGCATCACCTTCAGGTTCTGAATCTCCTTCTATTCTCATAATACAGCAGTTTCCTTCCCTCTTATCCTACTTTAAAATTTCATTTATTTGTCCAATCCTTCTTCCCTTAAGGAAGGAACAGTATTCTTCTCAAAACTAATTATTTCACTTATATTCCTAATTTTATTCCCTTCAGTCATCTAACTTGAAAGTTGAAACTTCACATTTTTTCTCTCCCCAAGTTTTATACCGTTGGGCAACAACCAACAAGCTATCCCACTTTTAAAAATCCCAAATTTGTATTGATATTAATTTTTCCTAAAGTTATTATCTTGGCTCACTGTTGCACTACTGAGCTTTGTGAAATATTAGTTTATACCCATTTTCCTTACTTTTACACCAACAAATCATTCATTAATCCCCATAGTTTTTTTCCATCTACTTTATTAAAATGTGCTTTTTGAAGGTTACCAATGACATATGTCATGAAATCTAATCTTTTTTCTTTAGTTTTGATCTTGCTAGACTTATCTTCAATATTTGCATTGCTGACACCCCTGTCTTTCTGAAACATTCTGCTCTATTCAGAATTAAAGAGACAGAAAAATAATTATTAACTACATGTTATGTGGTAAAATGGAGGCATATGGCTAAAGAGCACAGAGGGAGGGTACAAAACCCAAATAAGCACAGGGGGCCAGGGGGCCTAGAGACCTGGAGGGCTTTCTGGAGAGGATGATTCTCAGTTCCTCTATTTACTGGTTGTGTGAGCTTAAGTTTCCTGATTTGTAAACGAGAGTAAAAATAATAATCTTGCAGGATTTTTGTAAGGATTAGTAATGAGAAATATAGAGCATTAACACAGCCAGGGTACAGAGCAGGTACTCAGTACATAGAGTCAATTCTTGAATTCAGATTGTATAATTTATCGGTGATGCAAAATAAAATTGATGAATATTGAGTGGCTAATATATGTTAAGTGCTACAGTAGTAATATTAAAAAAGTCTCTTTTCAAAGAATATATAGTCCTGGAACTAAATAGAACATGTCACAGGCAGTTAAAATAGCAATAAAATATTTAAATAACAGATGAGAACAGTGTAAGAAATGTCTCAAGACAATATATAATTAATTGGAAAATGAATTTTACCTGCAGTAATTTCTATAGAAGTCAGTAGGAGAGAGAAATTACTTCATGCTGGTGTGGCAAGGATTTAAAAACGAGGTAGGATATCAGTTGAGATCTGAAGAACAATTTCAGTAGGTGTAGTGGGTAAGAAGTAAGCCTTTAAGGCAGCAGTCCCCAACCTTTTTGGCACCAGAGATCAGTTTCATGGAAGATAATTTTTCCACAGACCAGGTTGAGCGGGGAGGGATGGTTTGGGGTTGATTCAAGCACATTATATTTATTGTGCACTTTATTTCTATTATTATTATTACATTGTAATATATAATGAAATAATTATACAACTTACCATAATGCAGAATCAGTGGGAGATCTGAGCTTGTTTTTCTGCAACTAAGTCTCATCTGGGGATGATGGGAGACAGTGATTGATTTGACAGGAGGCGGAGCTCAGGCGGTGATGTGAGCAATGGGGAGCAGTTGTAAATACAGACGAAGCTTCTCTTACTCACCAGCTGCTCATCTCTTGCTGCGCAGCCCGGTTCCTAACAGGTCACAGACCAGTACCCATCCATGGCCCAGCCCAGGAGTTGGGGATCACAGCTTTAAGGCATATATAATGGCATATGCAAAAACTCAAGTGCAAAAAGGAATAACACATCTTGAGAAGAGAGTAATTAAACAACTACATTTTGTTATTTGTAGGTTTCTTACTGTGCACAGCTTTTAGAAATAGCACTAAGCGGTATGCTGTGGCTGGAGATAGAGGTGGTGAATAAGGGAGGTAAACACCTTGAGGTAGTGTTTTGAAACAAAAGATGGAAACTATAGTTCTGCTCTATAATTAACGTAGCTATCCTTTGCAAGACTGAAATATGTAAGATCTCAAAAAAGATAAACAACCTTGAAAAAAAAGATAGTATCATTTTAATGAAATTATATTATGTAGTATTTATTTAAATGATATAATAAATACTGTTATTTGTATTTGTATCTGTTCCAGGAATGATCTGACTTTTTTGCTATTTGCAGGGTATACCAGGGCCACATGGAAATCCTGGGTTACCTGGATTGCCAGGTCCAAAGGTGAGTGATTACAAATGAGTATCACATGATTTTCCTGACATTTTAAAAGAAGGTCCTTAACTTTTAAGGCTAGTCTCAGGACATCAAGGATCTCTGTCATCTCCAGAGCATGATTCTTCAAAAGGATTGTCTTATGCTGGCCAAGAGCTAGGTTCCTCTGAAAGCCCGCCACACTTTGATATATTTACTTAGTGGTAAAGTCAGCTAGAGGCCTGCTTTGGTATTCCAAATTCTTTATTGTCAAAGTATAATAGCAATATATGGAAACCTCTGAAATATATAGATTATGATTTGAGTAAATTACCTTAAATTAAAGCCATTTTAATGTTTAAACACCAAGAAAATAAAATACAATTTATTTCCCTGCTTCACACTTCCCCGATACTTTAACTTGAAAAAAAAATCTGTGAGGATGTTTATAGGATCATCAAATTCTTATGAAAAAAACTAACCTGAAAGCCTATAGATATGAGTATACATAGTTCTATGATGGTAGCATGATACATAATAGCATGACAAATAATTAAGTAGTATGAGCACAAAAAAAATTATGGAAGAATACATCCCAGGCTGGTTAACTTGAGAGAAAGTATGGGAATGGAGAGATCACCAAAAATTTCATATATATAAAAAGTATATATGTATTTTTTTTCCTTAGTTTGTTCAGGATGCTATAACAAAATGTCATAAACTGGGTAGTTTAGAAACAACAAAAATTTATTTCTCACAGTTCTGGAGCCTAGGAAGTCCCAGATCAAAGCACCTGCAGATTTGGTATCTACTGAGGGCCTAAATTCTGGTTCATAGATAGCATCTTCTCACTGTGTCCTCACATGGTGGAAGAGACTAGCTACACCTCTGGGGTCTCTTTTATAAGGGTACTGATACCATTCATGAGGGCCCGACCCTATGACCTAATCACCTCCCAAAGACCCCACCTCCAAATATGATCACATTGGGGATTAGGTTTCAACATATAAATTTTGAAGAGACCAACATTCAGGCTGTTGCCTTAAGAAAAAAAGAAAAAGTGTACATATGAGTGATGAAAGAGGTTGGGGAACAGATTAGATGAACATTAGAATCTTGGTTTTCGGTAACTTCATGAATCTTTTGGGTCTCACCTTTCTGTTTATTACGATCACATTCAGAAGTAAACATGTAACCATATAGAATGGGGTTAAGAACAGAGTTTTTAGAGTCTGACAGATTTGGATTAAGTCTTAGTCCTCTCAATTTGAATGACTAGGAGCAAATTGCCTGCTCAGACTCTTTAAGCTTCACTTTCTTCTATAAAATGAGGAGAATCAGAAAATCTCCACTAGCACTATAGTGAAAGCTAAATAAATTATTGTAAGTAAAGCTCTTAACATGGTGCTACCAAGTAATAGCATATAGTGATGATAATTTAAATCTAAATTTCCCAAAATTTCTTATTTCTGTCAACAATTTTTTGAGTTCAGTAAAAGTGCCTCAGAGAGGAAAAAAGACTCTTTTAACCCAAGTCTGGATGTTTAATAGTGAAGAACACAGATTACTTTCAAAGAAATTAGGAGTTTGTTTTTGAATTCTTGATTCCCTAGTCCTTCAAGCTTTATTTGGGGATTTATAATTAGTCTAGTAAAAGGGTAAAGTAGCTATAAAGGCTCAGCTTACATTTCTGCACAGGACTGAAGTTATAGTGGGTTGATAGTCCTGCAAATAGCTTCATCTCCACAAGACCCAGTGAGACAGAAAAGGAGAGGGGAATTTCCATGTGGCTTATATTCTTCTCCCCCTTCTATTCAACCAGTAGTGATCAGTTAGGTTCTCTTAATTTGACTTTCAGCCTACAGTGGCAAGAACAAGTGTACTCCATTAAGATATGTGATGTTTTGTTACATGCATACAATATAAAGTAATCAAATCAGGGTAACTGGGGTATCTATCACCTCAGGCATTTAATATTTCTTTGTGTTAGGAACATTCCAATTCTACTCTTTTAGTTATTTTAAAGCATACCCTAACTTATTATTATAGTCACTTTGTTATGCTATTAAATATTATTCATTTTAACTATCTAACTATATTTTTGCACCCATTAACCATTCCCATTTTCTCTCCCCCTCCCCACTACCCTTCCCATCCTCTGGTAACCATCATTCTACTCTGTCCCCATGAGATCAATTATTTTTAATATTTAGCTCCCACATATGAATTACAACATGCGAGATTTGTCTTTCTGTGTTTGGCTTATTTTCACTTAACATAATGTTCTCCATTTCCATCCACATTGTTGCAAATGGCAGGATTTCATTCTTTTTGTGCCTATATAATATTCCATTGTGTATATGTACTGCAATTTCTTTTTTTTATTTTTTTAAATTTATTATTATTTTTTTAATTTCAGCATATTATGGGGGTACAGATGTTTAGGTTACATATGTTGCCGTTGTCCCCCACCCCAAGCCTGAGCTTCAAGCGTGTCCATGCCCCGATGGTGCGCATCGCATTCTTTGTGTATGCATATACCCGTCCCCTCCTCCCCCCTCGCCCCTGCCCAACATCCAATAAATGTTATTCTTATGTGTGCACTTAAGTGTTGATCAGTTAATACCAATTTGATGGTGAGTACATGTGCGTACCACAATTTCTTTATCCATTCATCCACTGATGGACACTTAGGTTGATTCCATATCTTGGCTATTGTGAATAGTGCTGCAATAAACACGGGAATGCAGGTATCTTTCCAGTATACTGAATTTCTTTGGATATATACTCAGCAGTGAGATTGCTGGGTCATATGATAACTCTATTTCTAGTTTTTGAGGAATCTCCATACTATTTTCCATAGTGGTTGCGCTCATTCCCACTAACAGTGTATGAGGGTTCCCCTCTCTTCACATCCTCGCCAGCATTCATCATTGTCTATCTTTTTGATAAAAGCCGTTTTAACTGGGGTGAGATGATACTTCATTGTAGTTTTGATTTGCATTTTTCTGATGACTAATGATGTTGAGAATTTTTTCACATACTTGTTGGCCATTTGCAAATGTCTATTCAGATCATTTGCCCATTTTTTAATCGGATTATTGGATTTTTTTCTTATCCCATTGTTGGAGCTCCTTATATATTCTAGTTATTAATCCCTTGTCAGATGGGTAGTTTGAAAATATCTTCTCCCATTCTGTGGGTTGTCTCTTTGCTTTGTTGATTGTTTCCTTTGCTGTGCAGAAGCTTTTTAGCTTGATGTGATCCTATTTGTCCAATTTTGCTTTGGTTGCCTGTGCTTTGTGGGTATTACTCAAGAAGTCCTTGCCCAGACCAATGTCCTGAAGCATTTCCCCAGTGTTTTCTTTTAGTAGTTTCAGGTCTTAGATTTAAGTCTTTAATCCATTTTGATTTGATTTTTGTGTAGCTCTGTAGTATAATTTGAAGTCAGGTAATGTGATTCCTCCAGTTTTATTCTTTTTGCTCAGGAAGGACACTCCTTTCTTAATAAGCACTGTTGCTATTTCAGAATAGAAACAAACAAAAAATGTGGAAATAATGTGACGAGATGAAGTCAGAGATGGCGGAAAGTGTTTTACTTAATTGACTTCTTAAAGTTTGTATACATATTTAGGAGAAAATATTTGAGAACATGAAGAACTTTGTATTAAATGAGAACTATTCCTGTCCCAAGATTAAAAACTGTATTTTTCATTATTGTTTAGTATTAATATATATCTGTGGTAAAGAGATCTAGGAGAGATAAAAATTTAAATCTCTAGATTCTTCTTTGATATTGTTTTGTAGTATAGATTTAATTTTGACTATAACTATTCAATACAATGAATATTTTATGAACCCATTTATGGGGGACTAAAATAACCTACCTTTACTTTGAAACGATTAGGCCTCTTGGGAATTTAATAGTATAAACCTGAACATTAATCTTTAATTCATATTTAATTTAACAATTTGATAAGTATGTCCAAAATAGCCAAAACTGATTATGATTTAGCTGCACATATTTGTGGAGGATAGTAGATTTGTGACAGGTGTTAAAAATTACCACTGTGTCCCAGATCTAACAAATAAAGCTTGTAATGTTTGATTTTATGAAACCAATTTCCCTAGGTATTTAACATGAATTTCTAGGGTAATCAGGATTAATAGGACATTCAAGCTTTATACTTTGTAATCCTCTTGTATCTGATATCTGCCAATTATTTTATGTATGGCATCTCATTTAGTTTTATCTCAATCAAGATTACTATGAGAGTAGGCTTTATTACCCTCTGCTTTGCAGAGAAGAAAACACTCAGAGAAGGAAACATGTAACCACGGTAACAGTTTGCAAGTGGTAGAGTTGGAGTAAAAAACTGGGTATGTTTTAAAGTCTTTTCCTTACACTAAGTGCCTCTCCCAACATAGTGAGGAAGTGTTTTACCACCCTAAGGAGGAAGGGTAGGGGTGGAGTTACCTAACTTAAAGACTTTCTGAATTTATTTAATAATAGTAACAAAATAGTTCTATTCCAAGGTTGCAGTTTATCCTGTGGATAATGATAATAATATATAAACTCTATCAAGAGTAAAACTGATCTCTAGTCCTTGACAACTATGTTGTTAAATTGTTAAATAATATAAGAATAAAGAAAGTACCACACACAAATTTAGTGGACATAAAACAATTTTTCTCAGCATGTAATACTAATATGATTTAAAATAAAGGAAGACCATTCCTCTAATGGGCTCATTAGCTGAAATCAGTAGACTGATGGTAGAAATAATGTCCTTCTAAAAAAAAAAAATCAGAGGGAAGTAAATTCCATTTCCTGTTTGCTAGAGAGAATGGATTTCTTTTTGTCATCAAATGCCATGTATCATATTTATCTATTAAATGAACTGCATTCTTCTTTCTTGGCAGGGCGATGGACATTTTTATTGCTATTAATTAAACACATGTTTAGTTATGTTGTAGATCTTTGAAGATGAGAAATGAATGCATGCAGAATCTGTATCTTTAGCCTACCA